GGGGCCCTTTTCCTTGCTTTTGCATCCTTTGTTTTTGTCATTAAGCAATGACAGCAAACCATTTTGTCATCATATTAATTACATTTTCTGTGGCCAAACCTGTTATCAGCTCGATCCATAATGCCAGGGACAAGTCTCATGTTTCCCTATGTCCAATAGCCAAGGCTATTTTATTCATTTAGCCTAAAATACAAGTTACACTAAATGAAATAATCTGTAGGCTGATATCCAGTGTCTGCCTTGGTAAGGATTTGCATAAAAGCTGGGGAAGCCCTGCAGGGGAAATGCATGTGTCAGAAACGCACATGGGTCAGAAAAGAGGTTTTCCTAACAAGAGCAGTGTAGAGGTCAGGTTTAACCCATTTCTCTATTTCTTTTTCACGTAAAACTTGAGTTTTGCAAACTCATTCTAAAAAGAGGAGGGCTAAGACTTCTTTGTACATAAAACCAATGCCCAAGTCGGTTATAAATGTCTTGTTAAAGTCATTGGGATTATTTTCTGTTCAAAAATTTGGAATAAATGCTCCTTCCTAAAGACTAAAGGAACATTATTACTGGTTTCTGCAGACATTCTGATGCTGAGATTTTGCTTTCAAAAGATTTTTCAAAGTTTTCTTCTCCCCTCACCCTGCTCCATCTCTTTGGGATTAATCTTGTAGTTTATTTAACTTTTTTTTTTTTTTTTTTTTTTTTAGGTAATTGTTGAAAAAAAATGGTTGAGACTTGAAGAAACAACTTACATTGATGCCTTTGGCAAAACCAGGTGATTACCTCTCTGACATTTCAGTCCTGCAATGTTTTATGGAGCAGCCACAAGCTGGAGCCTATGAGTGCTGCAAATCCATTGCTCAGCACAAGATTCAGACTTTATGCAATTCCATTATAGTTCATGCTTTTCAGAGAAAAGAAAACTCTTATTCTAGCATGGGATAGGATGGGATTAGATATGGCCCCTTATTCCTCTTGGGCACATTGGCCCTAGGTTTACCTCACACTTTCAGTTCTTTACAAGGGTGCTGCTGCAATATGCCCCAGCTGTGCAAATAGTGAAAATATGCAATATATGCGATATATAACTTTATTTTGCACCTTATAACTATTTATATAACTGTCTTGCACTTTTCCACTATTGCTTTTATAAGACTGGCTGCCTCTGTGATGATCATTTTGGTCCTTCTCTTTTCCTTAGTAATTTTAAAYAGTAGTTATATATTTTCAAGCTCCCTCCTTTGAGTAGGTAAAACAAAATCACACTGCAAACATTTAAAAGTGCTGAAATGGAACAGGAGTTGCCTGAGGGCAGCTGCTCACTTATGTATGATAGTATATTTTGCTTTTAAATGAACGTAGCAAAGGTAGAAGCAGACTTTGACAAACGAAATGTTGTATAGAGCTGCTTTAATGTGTCAATTTTGCCTTTGCTCCTTGCTGAACAGAACTTGGGAAACTGTAAAGCGTGCAAACAAGAAGCAGGGTGTTTCAGCGGATGGTAAGGCACTGGGGTTCTTGTTTTTTGCTTGTTTATTTGCATTATTTTTCCTCTTGTGAAAATTCTTATAATGTTGTTGAGTTTTGTCAAACACCCATAACGTGCTGCAGACTCAGACCTGACATGTATAAAAATGAAGAAGGCAGAACACAGAGTCCAGCAGGGCTTGCTGCTTGGAAACTGAAAAGTGTTTTAATAAAAAGCTGCCTTAAAAGCTCAGGATTCAGAACCTCACTGGAGCAASTATTTTCTCAAGATTTCTGTATGAATTTTGGAGCCATGGAGCCCTTTCTAAGAGGTGCCCTGCAGCAGGGCAGGTCACAGGGTGTGAGGCCTGGATCTGCTGTCATACTTTGCTTGGTACATCCCTCTCCGGAGCGCTGGGATTTGTGTTTSATTTGGAAGGACCCATTTTAGGCTTTTGTAGCTCACTGTGCATCACGTAAAGAGCTTAAATTCACCATTCAGCATTCTGGGGCAGACATCCACATGTTTGTCATGTTAATATTCAGTTTTACAATCTTCAGGTTCCTTTCCAGAGCTAGCAATAAACCTTCCTTTCCTGTTGAACTTAAATCCTATAGATCAGATGCAGTTGTGTCTTTTCCCCTTGCTGGTAGGTGTCGCAGTGATCGCTGTGCTGCAGAGGACTCTCCACTACGACTGTGTTGTCCTAGTGAAACAGTTCAGGCCTCCAATTAGTGGCTATTGCTTGGAATTTCCTGCGGGTGAGTAACAGAGACACTGAGATGAGACACACAAAGCTGGTAGTTGAGTTTAAGTGTGGTTGGAAGGACAATCTTGATGTGGTTGCTGCTATCAGAAGTTATTGGGGGTCTCTGTAGCTCAGAGTGTGGTTCAGAAACAGGACTATTTGCTAATGAAGAAAGCAAAATAAACAYGGTTCATTTTAGCAGATTGGAGAGGTTTTGCACAGTAGTCTGGAAGAACAGTCGCTCTTATCCCTTCGCTCCTCTCCACGAGAGCCAAGGAGTTTGGCTTCTTTGGAATCCTTCCTAATGCCCAAGTTTTTCCCTTGGTAAAARTATCGAGGATGTTTTACCTCATTTATGAAGCTGGGTTACATTTCAGAATGGGTATTTAAGTGCTGGCCTTTAACATGTTTTCATATAATACTTGTCTCCCAGGCCTCATGGAGGAAAATGAGACTGCGGAAAGTGCTGCCTTGCGAGAGCTGGAGGAAGAAACTGGGTACATAGGGGAAGTTGTTGAATGTACTCCAGGTCTTTGCCTTTCTTTTTCTTTTGATTTCCCATTCAAAGCTCAGTCTGTGTTTGGTGGAGATTAAATGCAAGGAAATAACGTGACCCTGCAGGTTAGCAGAGTAAAAGGCCAGGGCTGTGTCAGTGGGACTTGCTCAGTTGCTGAACCTGTTACACACGCAGGGCTAAAGTAACAGTGCAAAGTCTGTAGGGGGCAAGTTTGCTCTTAGTTAAGATCCTCTACACAAATCTCAGCACAGATTAAGCTTTTTTAGTGAAAAGGTCTAAGGGAGAAAGCAGCAATTGCCTGCTGCAGTCTCAGGGTAGGAGATAGTCCTCAATTCAGCTTCAAGAAGATAACAGGACTCAGGTTGTCCAGTGGAAAAAACAGGGAGAACAAAATTAGAGGAAACTGGAGCATGATTGCTATTCATCTAGTGCTTCCCGTGTAACACAAAACGAAGGCAGAGCTAGGATCTTAAATAAAACTTGTGAGAAGGGGGAAAAAATAAATCAACTTCGACATGATTTCAAGTAAATGTCACTTATCAGTTAAACTTGGCTCGTGGTTGCAGGATACAACTAACTGTGCTGGGAGCTGAGATATGGAAACAGGGGAGGGCAGGATCAGGCTTCAGTATTGCTGCCCAAGRAATTCTATAGGGAAAACTTAGTTTACAGCTTAATTTACAAGCTACCATTTATTTTTGAAGTAGGGCAAGAAAGGAGGGACGCTGTCGGAAATGGAGGGAAAAGTCTACTTAAGTGCTGGAAACACCTATCTTAAAAGGAACCTGCAGAAGAGATTAAAGTTATAGCAGCCTCAGTTTTCAGAACATATACAAACTGCTGCAGCGCAAACTTACGTCAGATATATGTTCAATCACATGTAGCTGGGTGGAAGTTTTTGATAAAATGGCAAAAATTTGAAAAATTAACCTATTCTTTTGCTTGTTTGCAGCACTCTGCTTGGACCCAGGTTTGTCTGACAGCACAACACACATCGTGACTGTCACCATTAACGGAGACGATGCTAGGAATATAAGACCTAAGCAAAAACTTGGTGAGCCCTGTCCCATTTATGTAGAAATTCTGAGAAAAAACTAACTGACCAATGGATTAAATGGAACTAACCCTGCCACCCCCTCCTCCTCTTGCATCCATACTGATGTAGAGGGTTCAATTCATGCCCTAGAAAATATCCTGCAGTCTTAGATAAGCAGAACCATGTTTCTAGACTAAACAAAGTGGGACCTAGATGCTGTCAGCCGGGGGCATGTTCACCATCAGAAGTGTGGGTGCCAAATGTCAATGAGGGCCACAAATTCCTGTGAACTTAGATCTTAGTCTTAGCTGCACGTTCTTGTAAACTTAGTCTTAGCTGTGGCTGGACCCTGGAAGTAGCTGGTTTCACTCAGTCAGTATCAAGTTGCTTTTATGCTTTTAGTTGTAAACTCCTGTGTGTTTGTAAGGCCTTGACTGACTTATTCTTTCTATTTACAGATGATGGAGGTATGTTACTCATGTTACTGTGCTCCCAGTGACAGTAAGGTCAAGCACGCTCTTCCTGGAGCAGGTTTTACTCAGAAAATGTGTCCCTTTAAACATTGTTTTTAGTTAGGGCTAATTACAAACCAAATGCACAGTACAGGGGCTTTGGCCTAGACATGAAAATCCCTTTTGGGCTTTACCACCTCACGAAGCAGCCCCTATAGCAGCTATAGCAGCAGAATCTCAGTACATTAAATCCACAACAGCTGCACACCAAGCCCCAGAGACAACTCGTGCAGGTTGTGGGCAAACTTACTCCCTGGACAAATGTTGGAAAACATAAATTCATCGAGAGCATCAGGAACAAACCCTTAAGGTTAAATATGGGGCCATTCTGGTCTTCAGTCAAATATATTCAAAATCCCTTATGGTACCAGTTAAGCAGGACAAAACTCCATTTTACCATGTTATCCACTTCTAGAGACACTGTTTAGAAAGTCTGTCATCCTCCACACCTTGTTAGCTGCAGTGGGTTTTTCCTGACTCTTTTCCCTTTTCTTTCTGCCAAAGCTGTTTTAAGTGACTGCTGGTCAGCTTCCCTTCCCTGCCCCCCATTTAATCATCCTAATTATGATATCTGAATACTTAAGAGATTTTGGATGAGGATAAGCACACTTGCAGTGTTCCCTCCTCTAAGCTGACAGGGATAAGGCTGAACTAGACTTTCCTTACATTAAAGGTATATGAAGAAGGAGAAAAAAAGTCTTTTCTTTCTCTCCTCTCCTAGAATTTGTGGAAGTTATCTCACTTCCAAAGAATGACCTGCTGCAAAGAATTGATGGTAAGAGCTCTCTGCCACATTAAATGCACCCATCAGCTTTAAGAAACCCTTCACTTCCTTCCCACAGCTCTTCAATGGCCTCCCCTYCCCCAATAGCAACTGTTAAAAATGTTAAAAAAAAAAAACAAAAAACCAAAAAAACTTGCTTTTTAGAATGCTGGGTATCTTCACTTTAGTAATGGATTTAATTACATTGATGCAATTAACAACAGCACTCTTTTTTCTTTGGCAGAACTAGTAGCAGAGGAGCACATTGCAGTCGATGCCAGGGTTTATACTTACGCGCTGGCCCTGAAACGTGCAACAGAAAAACCCCTCCAGGTGCCTTTTATGAAGTTCTAGTGCTGCACCCTGAGACACGTGGTTGAAACTGCTCCACTGGCTCTAGAGGTGCAGCTTCTGGTGGAAGAGAGGTCCTTTTGCAGAGTCAAAATTAGGGTTTGTAGGAATAATTCTGATGTTTTTATCTGGAATTATGTAACAGACAAAATATTTCTCACTGCTCAGTCTATCAAGCCTTGACAAAATCATAATAAAAATTCTGTTTAATTTCCAAAATGTTTTCCTTTCTCACTAAAATTTATATCCTGACCTGTAAGTATAGTGACTGTATTTGGTGTTTTATGCCTTCTTCCTCACACTAAGTGTTATCTACTTAACACTAACCTGAATGCAGGTATYCCTATAGTCCTCATGCACAAGCAGCTTAAACAACCACATGTGATTGTCTGCAATGGGAGCAGCAACAGCTGCATAAGGTTCCCCTCTGTCTGTTCTAAATCCACTGTATGGAATTGCACTTTCTTTTAGCCTCATCACCTCTAGGTAATTTGCCAGAAAAGGCAGCAGAAGTAGCTGTGCCAATACACAAAAYTTGTGAACAACCACCACAGCTTAAAGAGTCATAGCTGAGAGTCATCATCAGCCCGTGCTGGTAACGAAGTCCTGCTGCTGAAATAAACTGGATGAGCAGCAGAATTAGCAAGGTTTTCCTATCCTGGAAATTAAGTAGATTCTACCTTCATAAATAACACAAGGTTCCTTTCAACTTAAATATGAGAAAAGATGAAAATGCAAAATCAAAGAGAAGCCTTTGCTCACAGCTAAGCAGAAAGTGTAAYTATTTTAAAGGAGAAAAGTTGAGATTTTCTTACTGGGGCTGCCAAAGCYTCTCAGCACTACCTTCTAGAAAGAAAAAGGAGAGACTGGTGGGGAAGGTTCCCTTTTCCTACTTCATTAAGACAGCATGTTAATTGGAAGCTACCCAGCAATCCCATCTTGCCCCAATGAGACACAGCAAAGAGCTTAATTAAATAAGTTTATTGTCTAATGTTTACACTTGTTACATTGCCACTGTAAACCGCGGCAACAGAAATAAGTGGGCAGCAGGAACCGCACGTTCCCACCGCGCTCCCTTCTCCGAGCGGCGCTCCGGGAGGCCGCCCTCGTCCCTCACAAGCACGGAAGCAACGTGGACACGACGTCGGGGTGGCACGGTTATCACAAGCGCTTTGTGGGAAAGCGAAAGCCCCCAGGACCGGGGAGAGCCCAGGGTGAGAAGCTCAAGTGCCCCGGGCCCTGCAGGGCAGCAACCCAGGACACAACCAGCTTGCAGGTGACAGGAGTATCAGTCTGGGGTGAAACCTTTTGCTTGTCCTTCCCTCAGAGCCAAGAGAAAGGTGCCCAGGTGGAGGCACCGTGAAGAAGTGCCAAGGAGTTCAATGATGGGGGAAATGCCAGTTTAAAAAGTGTATTAAAAAAAAAAAATGTAAAATAACAGGCTACAAATGAATCGTGTCAGGGATACTGCCATGGGGCAATCTGAGTCCAGATTTTTTTTTTTTTTTCTACTAAGAACTGGGAAATAAATTTAACACCTCAAGGCTGTGTGCAAAATTGTTTACCAAGAACTGATACATCTTCCCATCTCACGGTAGTGTCTGAACAGCAAGGTAGATGAATTGGTTTCCAGCATTACAGGCAACACTAGATTTACTTAAACAAGATGATGTAAACTTGATTCTTAAGGCAGCCGGTACTGATGCTGCTCACAGGCATTGCTCAATGCCCATTACAATAATGGGGCACGTAGCACTTGAAAACAAGTAAAAAGAAAACAGCATTATTGGACTAAATGATGCATGTTGTCAAAGTACTTTCCCTTTCACACAAACCATGAAATACTGGGACATCTAGAAAAATAGTGCCCCTACKCCTCCGACTTCAGCCTGTTCTTTTACAAAGATTTCAAAATACTGGTAGATGATGGTGACCGCGAGCAGGATGCCGGTGCCCGAGCCGATGGCACCGAGGAAGTCTGCTAATACTGAGAGGGCGCCGATGCACAAGCCACCGAACGCAGCTGCTGTGGGGATGTATCTGCAAAAAAACGTATTCAGCATCATTCCTCTGCACCCAAGGGCCTTGAAATACCAGCAAAAAYACCCCAAAATACAACCTGAATGTTTAGAGAATAGCTGCAACTCGGCTATAAACTCTTATGATCTTCTAAACTCTATGTACACAGAGTAGAAACTAAAATAAATCTTCACTGCTAGAAAAGCTATGGGGATCATTAAACACTTGCAATTTTTAATTAATTGCATAWTGATTTTGTATTTACACATGGTAAATAACCTCCAGAGAACCTAGAACAACTGCTCTAACACTGAAATGTTACATCAATACAGGGATCAAATCTAACTTTCCATACAGCTCTGCAGACTTTATACATTGCAGAGAATACCACTATTTTAGCATCTTTTTGGTTCAGTAATAGTAAATTAAGTACATTAACTCCAGCTACCTTCCTTTTTCAGACATCGAAGAGATCCATTCCAAATTTCYGCTTAAACAAAAAACACTGCAGGATAATCTCTTAGTTACTGCTATAAACATCATAAACCTCTCTCATCCTACCAGGAAAGAGAGCAGTTGGACAAGAAAAAATCTTGAGATTTGCACTGGAAACAAGGCTCCAATTTTGTAGAGTATCTGCTCTAGCTGACACCTCCCCAGCCCAACTCTTAACCACCCGTACAGCAGCACTGCTGGAAGCCACGTGGGGTTTTATTTTACCTGTTAAGCTCGTGAACCATCGAGGTGTCCCTGTGGCCTCTCATCACCATTTGTTGCTCTTTGAGTTGCTTGGCAACCTGCRGAAAGAGAATTTTATGAAACCGCCGCAGTGCTTCATAATGAGCTGATATTTAGTCAGAGTAATAACCGTGATCAGTCAGAAACTCATCAGTTCTAAGCAAGAGGCAACATCTGAAAACATAGTAATTAGGCACATGCACCAAAACACCTACATCTTTTGCTGATGATCCGGACACCTCAATCCAAGTTTTTGAGAAGAATGCACAGGATCCCAACATAAAAATTATATAAACTATTACATGGACAGGATCCTCAAATATTGCACCCATGGATTCAGGGGGGGACAAATAGTAGCAGAGGCCACCAACAGGATAAGACCGAGCAGGGCCACCACCACTGACGTCCTGTGAAGGAGGAAGAAAGAGGCAATTATTGTTTCTCACAGACCTCACATTCCTATTCTACATTTAAAGAGGATAGGATTCCTCTGCAGTGTTTAAAAAGAGCATCTACATACAAGTCTTAAAAATTATTTCAGCTTTCTATTGGTTAAATATAAATGTTTTACAACCAAGTTGTATATAGATTACATATTTATTAAAAAAATAGTAAAATACTTACTGCCCACTGTCCTAGTAAGTTGACCAAGAAGTTGCCACTAAAACGCACAGACAACATCTGGGAAATAACRTAGAGGTTTGAAACTAAGGCAGACTGCAGGATGATGGGAATGTTGGAGGTGTAGAAGAGCTTGATAGGGTAGCTACTGTATTGTCCTCGATAGCGTGCAGATTTGATAGGTAAATCCACACGAAATCCCTACGGGGAAGAACACAAACGCACACTTTATTTCTAAAATAAAAGGTTCTCTATTCTAAAATAAAAGGTGTTTCTAAAATAAAAGGCATTTTTAAAATAAAAGGCTTAAGAGCTATTCCTGAAGACTTTTTTTTTTTTTTTTTTTTTTTTTTTTTTTTTTTGGTAGATAAATAAATAGTGCAAGGTCAAATGCCTTCTGCTACAGTCAGCATCACATTTTCAAGTTTCTTAGTATTACTGCTTGGTTGTAAGCAACATTCTTCCTACATAAACGTCATCTCTCATCAGCTTGGTTACTTTCCTCTAAAATACACCTACTTTGTGGCATAGGGCTTGCTAAAAACTTTTAATGGTTTCTAACTAGCTAATATCAAAAGATTTTGGTATTTGTAAGCCTGGCCTTTTATGACCCAACTTTTATGCAAGTCTTTTGTGGGTTAGATTTCTCTCTGAGTAGGTCCAAAAAAAGCCTCATTTAAAATAACAGAATTCTGATTTTTTGCCAGCGCTTGGTCCCAACAGCTTAAATAATAAGAATCACCATAAGATCTCCTTTAGTGTTTGTTTTTAATATATACTCAAATTTAAAAACAGAGGGTTGAATATTTAAAGAAAAAATAGGAAAAAGATTTGGGCATTACTTGCACCGTTGTTTTCTAGAACAAGTCTGCATCATGCAACCCCCAAAGCAGCAAGTTTCTCTAGTTCTGTCTGGAAACGTTCTTTTAACTATATTAAGTATACTATTTGTACAATAAAACCAGATTTTGGGACTCCAGTGTGTTTGATAACAACAGCCCCGTAGTAGGTGTATCACTTAACAGAAGGCTTTTGTGAGACTATATCACTACTTGAGTGGAAATCCTTCCGGCTATAAAATTTAGCAGCTGTACTGTCACAGAGTTATGTTACCAAAATCACAGTACTGAAAGGGAAAAAATGAGTGAAGAAAGTTCCCTACTCAAAACTAAGATACGTCAGTTATTCGAGTTCCACTTTGGCAACAGTTTCTTGCTCAATGAATGCAGCGTCTAGAGCCCTTGCGCTTCTTCACAAGCGATTWCAGCCCTATGAGGAATTTTTCACTTTACCTGGAAATATATAACTACAGCAAACACAAACACTGTGGCAATCAGATTCATGAGGTTGGGCAAGTTCTGCCGGTAAAAGGCTTCCCGCAAGGCGCGGACTTTGTCAGTTCGTGTGGCCAGGAGGTGGAACAAGGCAATCACGGCGCCCTCAAACTCCGTCCCTGCAGATGGCAACAGAAGTAAAAAAAAAAAATTAAGACTTCCAAAAAGAAGAAATAATTCTTTTTTTTTTTTTTTTTTTTTTTTCTAATTTAAAGATCCGTCTTTAATCTACTGCTTTAAAAATTACAAACACATGTAATCAGATAGAATATGACAAATGCCATTATAACAACTGTATCACAACCCAGGTGTTTCTTTTTTTTGTAGAATTAAGCATTTAGTTTGTAGAATATAGAATCATCTATCAAGCATTATTTCTGATAAAGAAAACTAGAATCCTCACATAGAAAAAAATATACTCCTTTTCTACTATCTTCTGGGGGCATGGGGAAAAAAATAATAAGAAAAGTCCCACAGAAGAGAAATAAAGCACAATAAACAAACGTGCTAGAAATCATCTATGAAAATTAAAGCAAAAAACAAGGGTAGCATTTCAAATATATACATTAAACTACTAGTTTAAACCACAAGTTTTTGATGCAGATACATCCTGAATTTTAATTTCATATGTCCACTGGCTCAAAATAACCAGATATTGTCAAAGGATGCCCCCATCCAACATATCAAACAGGCCTAGAGTAATTTGGAAGCACTAAGTTTAAAAGTATCCTGTAGCCACAGACAGTAGCTGGATCATAACTCTTCTAAACAAACAGAACCTAATTTTTTTTTCTATCTCTAAATTATGCGAAAATAAGGAGCAATTGGCAAGATCTTCAATAAAGGGGATATTGCTCCACTGCAATTAAAACCAGAAGGAAATGTGGATTAATCTTCAGGCAGTTATTTTATTGTTCGACATCATTTTCACCTTCAGTGTTAGGCAACTCATTTTAAGACTTGCCACACATTAAAACACCTTTTTGATAAGTGATAATAACAGATAATTTTATATGTAGCTTATGCCCACTGAAACACGTTGTAATTTATTGCAATGGCACAAGTACCTCTGCCAGTGTTAATGGTGGTGGGACTAAAAGCCTTCCAGACGATGGTTTCACAGATATTGGTAGCAATAAAGAGGGAAATCCCAGATCCCAAACCGTAACCTTTCTGCAGCAACTCGTCTAAGAGCAGCACAATCAAACCAGCAACAAACAGCTGCGGGAAAAGAAACAAAACTGAGCAGAGACAAGAATAAAGGAAGAATTAATTCCCTGCTTCAGTGTTTTCATCATATTGGAAACATTCATCATTCAGCTTTTAATCTAAGTGTTATTAAAGAGTATTTTTAACCTCATGCACACATGGCCACATCTCACCTTGCAATAATTTTTGTGTCTTTAGTGTTGAAGCTAACAAACAGTTTACTCAGAAAGGCTTCCCCCCGCCCCCCCCAAAAAAAATGCTTCAGTTGATGCATTTACTGTTTTGCCCTACAGGATAATGTCTCAAAACTGCATCTGCAGTCTCTTCTTGAATTTGGAATCAAACAACCACTCCTATTTGAAATACTTGTGATATTCACTATCTCAGCTTTCTCCTCCCTTATGGAAGATTCAGAATTTCTCATATACATTTATGAATACATAGAAAGGACAATGCTTTATGGTATGAAAAATAAGCAGATAAATAAAAGCCAACTAGACATGAAAAGATATTTTTCCCCACTAGTTATACTGTAGCTAACCTATTCTAGTTACCCACAAAATAGCTCATTACAAACCTGAATTATAATAAGAAGACAAATTCCAGCACCCATTTCAGCAGGGTCTCCATACATTCCAGTCATAACATACACAATGGCTTGCCCAATGGTAATAATCATCCCGAACACTAAAACAAAAGAGAGAAAGCAAATCCTTTAAAAATACCTTCCAAGTTCATCTGCTAATTTCACACCTAGTACTTTTATTCTTGGGAAAGCAGCCTGCTAAAGTAATAAATGCTTATTAATTTTAAGCAGACAGTGCTTACGTTTCTGGGCTCCATTGAACAGGGCTCTGTCTTTTGGAGTATCACCAACTTCGATGATTTTTGCTCCAGCCAGTAGCTGCATTATCAACCCAGATGTCACAATTGGTGAAATACCCAACTCCATCAATGTACCTGAACAGGAAGAAAAATTAACACAGCTGCAGTTCAAGAATCTCTCCTAGGGGATTACATACAGAGGATATGAAGCCTGTTGAAAGGTTTCTGAACCTACAGAGAATATTTCTCCTAAAGCTTCAAACATATATATTAAAATACAGGCAATTAAAAAAAAAAAAAAAAAAAAAAAGAAAACCCTCACACAGAGTACTGTGTTAAAACCTCCAATTTTGAGGCACCATGAGAAATATACAATCTTTCACTTTAACTAATTTTGTGAAACTGCTATCACTAAAGTTTGATGCCCGTTGCTGGTTGTTTGACAAATATCAAGGAATCTTTCACTGGAAAAAGCCTTCTCTTTGGTTCCCTACTGTCCTCATTTCAATTGTGACCATCACATTTTCAAAAAGGTCAGTTGTGACGACCACAGGAAAGATGTTGCAGATCCACAATAGTTGATGTGCCACTCTCACAACCACTGCCTCTACTTAAAAGCACAGGAGTTCAGGAATAGGAATAAACCAACCCTTTATAACTAAAAAAGAAATGCACGTCATTAACTACTAAGATGCTCTAGATAACTTTTCAGTGGTATAAAATCTAATTAGGGAAGTACAACTTTATAAAACACCAATTCTGCACTATGTGCTCATGTACAAAAAAATCTGCATTYYCCCCCCCCCCAAAATATTTAACCTGTGGAGAATTCTTTTTGTGTGTATTCTCAGACTGCCACACCTACAAAAACAGCACTTTTACCAAATACTATAATTCAGATATATTCCCAGTTACATTTTATTCAAGGGCTGCTCTCTCCTGCAGTTCTGAACTGAATCTACTCAAAACAATTAAAACCAGGAAAAGCCAATATTTTATCCTGAATAAAATACTTTCCCACCTTAATACAGAAATATTTCCCCATCTGATCTTTCTAGTGCAACGGCGCTACAAAAAAAAGAGATAATTTCTGAAATTTAGTTCATCCTTCAGAAAATTACAGAAAAAAATCTGAGACTTTGCAATCCTTTCATTTAGATTTTCAAGATTTCTAACTAAGAAGCTAAACTAGCAAGCGATCATTTTTTTCCAACATTTCCTATGCTGTAACTTTAAATTTAAAGGAAAAAAAAGCTTGTGTCAGAAGATATATTTTAAAGGTTTAATATTATATTAAGCCAAATCAAATTACTTTTTAACCATCTTTTGCATGAGTACTAAAGTGAAATAACTTCATAAAAATACAWAATAAATTGTAATACCCACCAGGAAGATTAAGATGAGAATCAGCTCACAATTATTTTGAAAGCTCTGCCCTTAAGCATAACTCTGTTCTTACTTGTAAAATATCTGTGACCTACCATAAAATTATCAGCAAAATTATTAATAAAAAAGTACTTGGCCCTACAGACTGCAGAAAAAGTAGAAAATGGATATTCATAGTTTATCAGACTAGAAACTCATGTATCCTCACAGTCCATCTGTGAACAGGGCCCCTTCTTTGGGAAAAGTATCACTCTTTTCCCAATATCTTGACAATTTACTCGGAAGTTGCATCTTGTGACTTCTGCAAATATTCTGTGTTAGATCTGMTCCTTAATGATCACATTGGCTGCCCCTTCCTTGTTATTGATTATCCATTCCCTATTCATTGTATTTTCCCCACAGAGATTTMAGATTTCAAAGACATTTGGGACATAACACATTATATGATGAAGAAACCTTATTTATTTAGCATCTCTCTCTATACATTAACTCCTACCTTAGATTTGCCCTGTTGTCTTTTCCTGAGTGTTTCCTAGATCCACTATGTCCTTCGTGGGATGGTGGGTTAGAACTGCATGCAATATTCAATTTGTGGCACCCTATGGATTTATACAGACATTTCTTTGTATCCTTTCAACATTCTTAATCCATTAGCAGGTCTTCCCTCTTATCCCACAATAGTTAAATTTCCTAAAGAGTCTTTGATAAATAACCTGGACTAAGTTCAGTAGTGTTAAGCACCTCCCTTTCTGTCTGAAGTCTTTTTATTTTCTTTTACATTTCAAGTTTTGAGCTTCTTTAAAAGATTGGGGATTTTTTTGTCTTTTTTTTTTTTTTCCTTTTTCTTACAATAATATAACATGAAAATGTTAAAGTCATGGTCATATTCTGGTCCTTTCAGACTTGCATCTTAGTTCCCACATACTGCTCAGTACCAAAACAAATATGCTCTCTCCGTAGAAAACTTTTATTTTTCTAACAAGCAAGAAAATATCAAAAACATTGCTCTTTATTTCACATGCTGTAATGACATCTACCAAGTTCATTTAGGTGTAAGTTAACTTTCCCACTCCCCCATTTTGTCTTTACAGTCTTTCTAGTCTATTCTTGCCCACTTTCACTATCCCCACTCTGGTTGCATAATAGATAGCATGGACAGACTATAATGGATAGTCTGTGACACAAAATTTAGTTTGAGACACAACATTTTATATACAAATTCTGCAATAAAGTTTGAAATAACTAAATTATTTACCTGAATATATTATCTTTCACAGCATGACCCACTCTGCCATTCCTAAATAACTTTTACCTTCACATTAGAGGCTGCCAGCAATTTTCTTGCTTCCAGCTAATTTTCTAAGACAGGGATGAGGTCAACGTTCTCATTTAAACTCATGCATGGTAGGTCATCCAACTTATTTTTAGACTTCTAGCATTAGCACAAAAGTTTTTATACATTTGGTTTGAGGCCAGATGCCTATTTTAAAATAAGTTAGTTTGACCTCACCCATAACACTGGCAAAATATTGTAAGGCAGAATGAACTTGCAGAGGTGTTTGCTGGTCAAGGCTCTCATAGCGCAGTTTGTTACTTGCTGTGAGAAGAAGACAACACCCCACATATTAAYCAGAAAAGCTTGACAGCTTGAAACACAATCAGTCCCAAAGGTGATGATCAAAATTAATCTCATTTACATGTCAAAGGAAACCTTGTTTCTAAGGTAAAGTATTCCTCAAGTATCAGTCATTTATAAATACAAAGCAGTGCATCTGTGTCAAGCACTTTACAAAGTGTTTCCATGACACATCTAGGTGTATGACATTTAATACTTCAAAATCAATTTAACAGCCAACATTTTTTTTCCAGCTTGTTTATGCTCACATGATACAGAGAAGAAARAACTGATCTACTCACCTCTGTTTGACGCAAGGATGACTCGCATCCAGTARAAAGGATCTGCAGAGTCTGATGACATGATTCCAAACAAAGGTATCTGTTCAAGCACACAACATATATTAAGCATATATACAAAGAGAGCTTGCCTTAATACAAGAACCATAACCTGTAATGACTCAACTGCTATACTGTTTAAGACAATTTATTCCAACTTTTTTCCTTTTTAATTAAACAGAATATACATTAGCAGACACATTGACAACGTCTTTTCTACTCCATTAACTGTGGTATGACTCACAGTCTAAACTGTGGAACCTTAAGATTTTTCTACAAAAAAAAAAAAAAATAAAAGCAGAAATCTTTACACAAAGGGGATTCAAAGCACATAATATAATTCCCTTAAAAAAGGCATAAAATAAATAGGTTAGCTACCACATTTCATTAAGACTCTAAAATCTTTATGCAATATACTGTTACTTATTTCACCATGATCTTTGTAGCAATTGAGTTTTACAGAAGTAAAATAAAGAGTAACAAAGTATTCTTAAGACAACAGAAAGTATTATTTTTTAATGGTCCTAAGCATTTATTTTAATGCAAATTATTAATGCAAAATTAATTAACCTACAGGTTCTAGGAACTCTTGCAACTGTGAGTAATAAAGATTATGGAAACATTTACAAAGTTCTGTATCTTAATGTTTTAGCTAACATAATTGCAGTACTTTCACAAAGCCAAGTTCTCAATGTCAACTTAAATTCTTCAGAAGAAAAACATCCTTCTGTAACCTTTACAACACACAAGTTTGTTGAAGAGGAACCAAGTAAGAACACTCACCTCTATTTCATTTTTAAACTTGTTGCTGCTAATGCTGTGTAACTGAAAATGTTAGTTCAACATAAAACAAGGGTTCCTCATACTCCTGAGGACTATTTCTACACATAGAGGATATTTTATATGCTCAGAACATATCCTTTCTGTAACACACAAAAAACACCAGAACCTACCTGGCAGCATACTAAGAAAATGAAGAGTGTGATAGCTGTCCATAGTACCTTCTCTCGGAACTGGATCTAAGGACCAGAAGGTAGAGATTAATTAATATTTCCATTATATCTACATAGTTTTCACTCTACTACCACATTAGTATTAAACATTACATCATTCAAAAGTAAAGGTCAATGTATTAAACCAGAAACCCAATGTATTAAATCATAACYATAATTTCTCATTAGAAACTATTTTAATAGGATTTTCAGACCTTATATAGACACCCTCATAGGGCTTCTGTATAGCCAACAAAAATGTAAGGGTGATATAACTGTGCACCTAACATTTAAAACATATTTTAGTAACAATAATCTAATAAAGTGGATATTTACTGAAAAACAACAGCAGGATTGAATAAATTTGAAAGATTAATTTAAAAAAAAAGTTATTTTCCGTGATTCCAGCTCTTGGTTTCAAGAGATTGTAAGGCAATATTTTGTAATGTTGGAAGTTACTAGATTAAAGTATTCTCAAGTTTTGAAAGASATTTAACTGCAGTGAAGGCAAGTGGTAAAAGAGGCAGAAGAATCRGGAGTTTTGAACAGTTATCTGGAACACCTAGAATGAAGTTAAGAGGAAGCTTAAATTCAATGTAATGTGAATGGACACAGATCACAAAGTAATCTTAGGATTTTATTTCTTTCAAAATACTTCTAACTACGTGAATTACATTTTGCTTATGAAAGATATGAAATCAATGATCATCAGTTACTATATATGGAAGAGAATCTCAGGGCCAGAAGAGCTCAGACAGGTTCAAGAACAGAAGTGTAACTTCTAATCAAGAGATTATTCTAAGCCCAAGACAAATAAAAACACACTTGAAGAGACCAAGAGAGCTCAGATGCAGAATTATGCCCAAGTTTGYACCTCTCCTCCTCAGGATTATCCCATACACTGGGAAAAGTGTGTTCACTATAGCCAAGAGCACAGTGGTTACTAAAATGTGACATGAACTAACATGTAAGACAAACAGCTTCTGACTGCAGTCACTGAATCTGCCTGCAGAGAAGCAACAAGAGATTAGTACCTCATTCCATAGGTCCTGAACACCTTCAAATGACAAGATACTGACAAGCAGGTCAAGAGAGGTGATCGTCCCGCTATACACAGCCCTGGTAAGGCCACATCTGGAGTACTGTGTCCAATTCTGGGCTCCCCAGGACAAGAGGGATGTAGAGCTGCTGGAGAGACTCCAGCACAGGTCAGTGAGGATGATCAGGGGCCTGAAACATCTGCCATATGAGCAAAGGCTGAGAGAGCTGGGYCTGTTCAGCCTGGAGAAGAGGAGGCTGAGGGGGGACCTGACCAGTGTCTGTAAGTACCTCAAGGGAGGCAGTGAGGAGGAGGGGGCCGGCCTCTTTTCAGTGGTGGCCAGCAATAGGACTAGAGGAAATGGCCACAAACTGAGGCACCAAAAGTTCCACAGRAACTTAAGAAAACACTTCTTGACAGTGAGGGCGACAGAGCCCTGGAACAGGCTGCCCAGAGAGCTTGTGGAGTCTCCTTCTCTGGAGATCTTTATAGCCTGCTTGGACACAGCCCTGTGCCATGTGCTCTAGGTGACCCTGCGTGAGCAGGGGGGTTGGACTAGATGACCTCYGAGGTCCCTTCCAACCTTAAGCATTCTATGATTCTATGATATGAACAAATGCAACTGCTTAAGATAGCCCAAGAAAAGAAACAGTTTGCATCTTTATAATTAAAAGCATCTATTTAGAAGCAAAATATCCCTGTAGGTTAATGTATTAACTGATGTAACCTCATTCTTTCAAAAGAGGCCAAATGATAAAAATACTCACAGCACCAAGTAAAGTAACAACAGTAGCAAAGAAATCCAAACACTACCTTAGATTTTACAGTACTAACCCACTTTACCAAATGAAATCTGCAGTATTCAGTGAGCAAGTAGAGACTTTTAAATACAAAAAAGCTTAATAAAATGCTATAAAATTAACTGCAGCACAACAGATAGACTGAGCTTTTGAGGTATCACTCTCCTAGGCTCTACAGTCCCTCTGTTTCTCTCTGTAACTACAGCAAATAGAAGCACTAGAGAAATTCAGTATCACCCCAATCACTTTTCATTCACAAGCAACAGTCCCTGAAGCTATATACCAGGAACAGCAAAACAGAAAATGGGAATTAAGATTCAAGTAAGAAGCACAACAACAGGGCATTCCATTGGCTGTTCAGATCTAGTTGGGCATTTCATTTCTTCAACATTTTTTCCTCATAACTTGTGAAAATCAAGCAACTTAAGCCCCATCTTCTTACTGTTCTGAATATCTGTTCCACTTCTTAGGGAAGTCCTTCACAGAAAACAAATATGAACCCAAACTATCAACTGCAAAAAGTAACAACTGCTTCTGTCAATGAATGTGACCAAAATACAAGACTAATACTCCTTAATGTCAGAAAAATAAAAAGCTTTAGGTGAGAGTCCACCTGAAACATATCTTCATTCAATAATCAACAGAAGTTTGTAGATTTTTTTTTCTTATTTTGATTTTTTTCCTCATCTTAACCTTAACTAGCTTAATAAAACCATTACTAATGATGGCTACCAATGACAGTCTGCAAGAAAACAATAGCTAATAGAGAGGACAGGTTATATGGAATGGGCTAGGTCACTCGGCAGGCTACATCCAAGCAACATCCTTGAAAATGGTCAAAGGGCTCTTCTGTTCCCAAGCATGTTTTCATCTCAGACTTCTACAAGGCTGATAGCCAGCAGTCAATGACATGATAGTGAAAAACAAAACAATCCAAGGCACAAGTACAGGAATTTCAGCACCTCTTTGGCATCCTTCCTCCACTGATGGAGGACAAAGCCCAAATTTCTCTTCCTCTCCGACAAATTGAAGAGGAAGAAACAAAGAGAAAATCCACAACTGGCCTTGAAAATTACAGGAACAAAAATATCAACAGCTGAAGAGACAGAGGTACCTGCTGCACAAGTCACATGCACACTAATCGCAGCAAACAGTGGTTGGCTTTGGAAGTTCCTGCTGTCAAGATGACTTTTAAAGTTCCTGCTGTCAAGATGGCTTTGTCTGACTGAAATTGTTTATTTGAAGACCTGTCCTAAGAGGAAAAGATGCTGGAAGGCAACAAGGAAAGACAGATGGGGCAAAGAACCAAGGAATAAATCCCTGTTTTCTTAAATATTAGGCCCAAAGAGGAATAATAAATAGACTTGCTGCATCTTTTCCTCTCAATCTACTGTACTCAACTATGGTTACAGGTATGAGCATCTCTGCAGCCATTCCTGGCTTCCAGATGGCCTCATCGTTGTAAGAAGACTTTCTTCAAGAGAAGCAATGGTGTCATGCTCTCAGCTATGCACTCTGTTTTAGCAACAAAGATCAGTATTTAGCATTTACGGAATTTCATACTAATCATGATGGCAATTGTTAGGTATGTCTGTCACTCTAATTATCACCTTTGTAACCTAGGTGACTTGTGCTTAGTGATACGTGCTTGCTTGAGTCTTCTTAAGCTTTAGATTTAGAAATAAAAACATTTCTGAYAGTGCAGCTATCACCCCACTCTACAAAATTAATTTTGATCTAGGAAATGCTGAGAGGACTGTGAGGAGGTCCTCAGGCTAAAGGAGTAGACACAAGAGCTTTAAATGAAGTTGCTSACTGAGTTCAGAACAAAGTGATCACACAGGAGGCAAACAGCAAGTTACCTGAGTTATGTCACAGGCTACCTTCCAACTTCACCACAGAGACATACAGCTATGGGAGCAAAAAAAAATCCTATGCAGGAAAGAAAGAACCAAATTTGTGGTTCTTAAATTACAGYAAAAGTCTTTTCAAAGGAATAGGTTTGAGCTTCTGCTCAAAGAGCAGAATTGCCTCCAGTCATTGAAAGTCATTGAAAATAGTTGTATCCACCAGGAAAGAAAAAAGCTTGAAAATTTTGTTTGAAAATATAAAAACAGAGGCAAACACAGGAAGCTGAAATGAAATAAATTTAGCCTAAAAAAATGATACTTTGGAAAAAAAAAGAAGTTATAATTAACCACCAGAACAACTTACCAGAGCTCTCTTAGCAGAGTAAGAAATTCATCATATTTTTTTTTTTATGATAGGGTAGATTCCTCTGCCCTTCCCTTCAAAAAATATATTTCTATATTATACTATATTTATAGTGGAGCTTGGACTCAAATGCCCCAACGTTTTCTTAACAGTGAAGCAAAAGAAGTAAGAGGATGTGATGCTCACCTTCCTTTCTGGTTTCTGGATTTCTGGTAAAACCGCACAGAATGGTTTAATAACTTCTAAAAATTTAACTGTTAAAAAAAGAGAATGTATTAATAAACTTATACATATTTACATACACTCATAAAAACACCTTAAAATTTTACTTAATTTCATAAACGAAAAAATTAAAAGTGAATATAAAAGGACCCGGTAAGTGAATTCTATTTCATTAATACTCAATTCAACACTTGAAAATTGACACCTTCAGATCAAAACAGGCCAAAAGTGTGTCAGACAGTTATTCATCCCTCTTTTTCTCCCACCCAGGGATGGCTGGTTTAGCACTATTTCAGACAAGGAGCAGCACTGCTCATATCTCCAGAGGGAACTAAATTCTATTCCATCTAAAAATAAGCGACCTAGTATTATTCTGTGCTAGTTAAATGCAGAAGCAAAGCTCGCTGACATCAGAGCGTACCCGCATGGAGACTGACACCTTTCATTTCACCAGAAAAACTACATCTCTCAAATAAAGAAAAATCAGAAATCACAGCAGAAATCACTGCAGCAATTACACTGAACAGAGCTGTGTGGCATTTATTCAGCTTCTGATACATCCCTCCCACAAGCTCTCCTTTAAAAATTCCTCTATTAAAAAAAAAAAAAAAGAAAGAAAAGAAAAGAGAGAGAGAGAGGGGGAGAGAGAGAGAGAGAGAGAAATAAATCCCCAAATCTAGCGGTTTTTGGCGGCAGCACTTGCAGGTTAATCCCGGCACCCCCAGAAATCACTGCGTGGTCTCTTAAAAATGCCTTGGCTGCTCTGCAGACCGACATAACGAGAATTTGTGTGAGAAAGGCCGGTTTTACTGTTATCCCCGGTACCCGCCCGGCCGCATTGACACTTCATGCACCCGCGAACCCCGCGCAGCACCGGCCGCTTTGACACTTCATGCACCCGCGAACCCCGCGCAGCACCGGCCGCCTCGGGCCCGCGCGGAGCGGCCCGGCAGCGACGGGGACCGAGGCAGGGAGGCTAAGACGGGAAGAGTGGGGAGCACAGCGCCGCCGTGGCTCCGTACTCACTGCCCATGGCGGCGGCGGGCGGGCGCCTGCCCCGGCCGCGCCAACGGCCGCTCTAACGGCCGCGCCAACGGCCGCTCCAACCGCTGCTGCCGCCGGCCGGCACCCCCACGTGACCGCGCCTGCACGCAGGACCCCTCCTCCACGCGCACAGGCATCACCGCGGACGACTATGCCTCCGTGCTGGGGAGGACGCTGCGCCGTGGGAAGGGGAAAGGTAACGGCGGCCGAAAAGGGTACCGGGGCACCGGAATGGGGCCGCCGGGAGCGGGGCGCGAGGAAGGGAACGAGGCGCTGCTAACCGGCGGCTCAGGCGGTGCTCGGGGCAGCTAAAACGGAGCCGAGGACCCCGCCGCCGTCGGCGCTGGGGCGGGGCGAATATGGGGGTGGGGCGAGAAAGAGGGCGGGGAGAAGGCGGGACCAGAAGGAGGCGGGGCCGCAGAGCTTCAGAAGCTCCGCCCCTCGGGTCGCTTTTGGCGCGCTCAGTGCAGGGACCGCCAGCCCCGGCGTGTCCCGGTCCCGATCCTGCTCCTGCTCCCAATCCTCCTGGTCCCACTCCTAAGGCGGAGCCCACGAGGAGAGCGCCCTGGGCTGCTGCACAGGACACAGAGCTCCATCCTCACCTACATCCCAGGCTCTCCATTCATCTCTGGTACTTGGTGGTCTCCAGCCACCAAGAGAACCCTTGGGACAGCGTGAGGGTTTAAGGATGAAAAGAATCTCCACCATGAGGGTGGTCAAAGGGAACAATGGCCAAGAGAGGCTGGGCAGTCCCCATCCTTGGTGCTGCTCCAAACCGGACAGCTGAAGTCTCTGTAGAACCAGCTCCAACAGGACCTGCTTGCAGCAGGAGCTTGTTCCATGGATCTCTGGAGGGCCCTTCTAAAGGAGGTTCTGAAGCCTGACTCATATGAGGGCCTGTGAAAAGCTCAGGTTTACGTTGAAGGACAGGAACTGGACAGTAGGACAGGAACTGAACTACGTTTTAGGAGTTTGAAAGAGGTGACAGATGGTCATGTAGTGACATGGATTTCATAAAAGAGACAGCTTCAGCCACTGGATAGAACTGCTGGAAGCTGGGACTAAATCCATCCTACTTGAGATCAGCTCTGGCATGTTTCTTAGGGAATAGTTCAAATCACTGTAGGATAGCAGGGTTTAAATACCTGATCATAGTKTAATTCTGTATATGCTTTTTTAAAGAGCACTAATAAATATGTTACTAAATGTTAATAATAAAATGTTAATAAATATGTTACTAAAATACATATTGGTTGCAAACCAATACATTTTYTCACAAAAATTAGAAACATGTCACAGTGGTAGAAAAAAAGCATCATGTTTGTACATGGTTGGCACTTTGAGAACTTCTGTGTTTCAAACACCTGTATCATGCTTCAGCCTCTTCAAAAAAACTTCACATTTTGTCATTTCCTACCRTTTATTTCACAAATTTGCTCAATAATCTCTTGTTATTAACAGTCCTTCTCAAGGCAGCCTCCGATTCTTACAGTGCAACAAAGAGTTCTGGCTCAGGACCTACTAAGTAACTTCCAAGTCTTCCTCATTATTACATTTTGGGAAAATATGTCCCTYGAGCTCTTTGCAGCCTGCCTTGTTGCACCTTTGGGTTTCTGGAGCCTATTACTTGGTCATATCTTAAGCTTTCCTTCCTGCAGCATGAGCAGGAATTTGTGTGGGAACTAGGGACCMGTGAAGGAAGAAAGCAAAAGAAACCTCTGGAAACAGGTCACATCCACATGAAATGGTGAAACAGCACAGCTGCCTGGGACTGGAAAAGAAATGGCCTCTTAAGTGCATTTTTCACTGGTAAAGCCAAATAAGAGTTACAAAATCCTTGTCAACACAGAAGACTAGACCAATGGATCACATCAGCATTGCAGTTTGGGGGTTAAATAACAAACTACAAGAGGGAAACTTAGAATTAGTTCTTTTTGGGTAGGAGACAGCACCATTCTTCAGGCTTCAGACCCCAAAGTGCTTTGTTTAGTCCTGCAGCAAGTCTCCCAGCTTGGAAGCTTCCCAGGAAGGTGCCACTTCTCCAGGCAAGAGAAACAGTGGTACCCCAAGCCTTCAAGGTCTCTTCTGGGAGGTTTTCCCAGGAAATCTGCTTTAGCAACTCCTGCTCCCTTTAGAGCATGGCTTGAGAAGAGCACCAACAGACACATCAGATTTAATCCTTGAAAGAAATGGAAACCCCACAACTTTGCCACAGCAATGGCTCATTCYCAGGCAGGTAGCAGGGTTTATTCAAACAAACAACACTAGCACCTCTGTGGAACAAAGACACCATTTCCACACATGCTGTGTGGAAAATCCACACATCCATCCCCGTGAGCTGTCAAGTACAAACAAACACCCTGACCCAACATATTCTACCTCACTGATCTGCCCCCGCACTGGATTTTTTTCTTTTAAAAAAATCTGTAGAAAATACAAGAGGACAGCAAGAAATATCTAGAGTAACAGGCATCAGCTGTCGTCCTCGTGTATCCCCCACATGTAAAGATTGGCTCATCATTGTAAAATTTGTTCTCTGTCTTAGAGATTAAGAGTCTGGTTTCTGTTGTTCTTCGCAGGAGGAGGTAACAAACTTGACCCACAGTGGAAGCAGTTTGTCTGTCTGCTGAAAGCCCTTAGACAAACGTGTTGGTAAGAATGTCTTCCTGCTGCTGCTGGTGCAGGGTTCCAATGCCAACTGCTGGGGCTGGTAAAGGAGGTCTGCTCACAAGACGGAGCTGAAATCAGAGTCAGGAGGAAATGATTAATTAAACACAAATACAGGATTATCGCCATATGAGGAAGAAYTTATTTGCTGTGAGGGTGTCAGAGCCCTGGAACAGGCTGCCCAGAGAGGYTGTGGAGCTTCCTTCTCTGGAGATCTTCCACCTGGATGCCATCCTGTTCTCTGGGTGTCCCTGCTGGAGCAGGGAGTTGGACTAGAYGATCTCTGGAGGTCCCTTCCAACCTCAGCAATTCTGTGATTCTGTGATTCAATGTCCTGGGATACTGACTGTCAGACATTGGTCAAGCTGGAAGTTATCCAGTCAGGAGTTTTCCTCCCTCTCCCAAACAGCATGGCCCAAGATGTTTATAGACTGCAGTCAGCCACGGAGAACAGCAGCTTTTGATGCTTCTCCTATACATGTCACCTCATGTTGTTGTTTCCTACCTGGGATCTTAGTTCATCCTGTCTACTGAGACTAATTTTTACTTTCTGGAGACTAAACACCTAGTGAAAGGAAGCTCCTGAGCTGCTCATCACCAGTAAATGGTGCTATAAAAAGCTGAAGTCATTTAAATTAGAACACAATTTTGGTTTAGATATTAAGATTAGTTTTATATGTCTGTACCACAGAATTTCAGTTAAAGAGGAGAACRTCAAACTTCAGTTCAAAGACTAAAGCACCAGGTGGACATTTTACCTTAACTCTCAGCTGTTTTTCAAACCGTGGTGACACAAAGGACCAAGGACCCATGTTCTGTGGTTCTTCCTGGCTCCAAATAAAGTCTAAAGAAAAGATAAGTGCACATTACAAACACATTTGTCTTTTCAGCCCCTCAAGAACACCAGCTTTGGTGGCACCTCTGATGTTTTTCTTTAAAAAAAAAAAAAAAAAAAAAAAAACAGGGTGTTGCAGCCCCTTCCGGACCCCCGAGAGGACACAGCAGCACTGCCGCCATCTCCTATCGATCAGGAAGGCTAATCAAGCTCGATCAAGCNAAAAAAAAAAAAAAAAAAAACTAGTACCAGCTTTGAAACAAAGGCTCACTAGATTCCTTTGCATGTCATGGTTTGCTGCAGCCAACCCAAAAAGCAGGACCATCATTAGGGCACAGTGTAGGCATATTCTTTTGTCCTTCCATTTACAGAAGCTACTTTCTCTGGCTCTCCATTTTAAAGGACTGGACAGCAGAGATCAATGACAAAATGCCCCGATGGGTTTACTCTGATTTTTAGCAGCAGTTCACAAATGCTAACAACAGCACCAACGCAAATCATGTGTCATAGGATACCGAATGTATGGGGGGAAGGAAGTAAAAGTAAAGGTAAAAGTCTGGCTGACCTTTGGCGCAGCTGTATTTGCTCAGCTCCAGCTGTAGAGCTTCCAGGGGGAAAGGACACAGCTCTTCAAGCCTCACAATAGCTGTGCTGTGTTGCTTCTCTCCTARTGTCTCCCTCTGTTTTACCAAAGCRTAGTAATGTTTGCCGGAACACAAAACCACTTGGGTGACCCTGAGGAAAAAACAGGAATGCCTCCATGTTTGCTCTTTTACAGAAAATCTGTGCAAACCAGTCCTATGCTTTGAATAAAAAACAGTCAACCTTTAAAGATATTTTTTAGAGCTAACCTGACACCCTTGACTATCCTTTTTTTCTTTGTCCTGCCTTCCCTCTCACCCAGAGCTGACAAATGAACCTCAGTGCTCCAGGGCCCAGAAATTCTATTTCCTCAGCACAACTGGGAAAATTATATTCATTGGGATTCAATCTCTTCCAGCTTTTACTCTCTAAAAGCTAAATATCTAGTCTAAAAGCTGGTTATCTTTTCTGCAGAGAATGGACCAGAGGGAGAGAGGAGCATGACCAGAGGACACTTCTCTCCCACCCCAGAGAGGGGCTCCCTGCAGAAAAACAATTCTCTCCAGCTACCAAGGAGGTTTTGGTGGCCTAACCTTAAYGGACAAAGGCAGGAAGAGAAACCTCACTCTATCTCTCAGTATCTCACTTAGAAAAACAAGATGCAAAGACATTTACAGACTTCTAATTAGGGTGAGGATGTGAMGTTGAAGATGCTGTCAGACTCTGGTGCTACTGGGACTACAATCATCATGTTCTTACCCTTGGGAGCCAGGCTTAATGGCCCGAATACTCAACTGTCATGCACACAGATATTATATAACTATTAACAAGCCAACGAAGGAAAAAAGAGAGTGGATTTGCTGTTTAGAAACAAACAAAACACTCTATCAGTCTCTCTACAGATGCTTTTTCCCCCTGCAAGATGTACTCTTTTTCACATCACATCARAACTGGGCTGTTAGCCAGGAAAAGGGAGTAGGATTTAATTTTKGGGCTTTCCTGCAAGGAAGGGAAGGTACCTTTTAGCATCTACCAAGGAGTCACCAATGACAGGCTTAAATGTTGTCCTCGGAGCCATTTCTTCAAAGCTGGACACAGCAGCCTAAATGGGAGATGGTTGTAAGTTACTAAATTTTGTTGCCTTTTTCCTGTGGCTGGTGTTAGAGCGAATATAATAAGACAGGGTTTAACAAATACAACAATAACAAYAACAACAATAATAACAACAGTAACAACAAAAATAAAATGCTATTTTCCTTCTCCTCCTCATTCCCATTCCCACAGGTGAAAGGCAGGACAATAAGTAATACAACCAGTTGCAGACTCAACTCCATTTCTGGCTCATTTCTACCCAACTGTTTAACAGTCTRTCCTGCCCCAAATAGACAAAACCCCATTGATTTGATACCAAAGCAGAGAGGACAATTGAAAAAAAAATAGATAAATAAATAAAATACAGAAAAGGGAAGAGAAGAGAAATGAGGAGGGGGAAAAAAAAGAAACAGAAAGGAGAATAAAGTTTTTCAGCTTACAGGAAGCCTGAGTAACACTTTGGGAGATACAACAATCAGAGGTTTCCTGAAGTTTCGGACCATCTGCCGCCGCAGTAAGTGGAAATACTGTGCGGGAGTGGTGGGATGCACAATGGACATGTTCACCTGGTCTCCATCAACTCCCTCTTCTGTGCTGTCACACATCTACAGAAGCAGAACACAGAAAGAACTTTTTGAGAAGCAAACATCCCAGACACACAAGGCATGCTCGTTAGTGCCTACAGGAGTAGGAGGGCAAACATCTTTGTTCTGGCACTGGTTGAAAATGTAAAGCAACTTCAACAGAGAAATAGGCTCTAGCCTTTAACTGGTGAGATTACACCTTAACTATCAACTTCAGAACTTTTTAACCAGGATATGGCATTTTTTTCTGACCAAGAAAAGGTCATATTTTTTCATTAAAATGGCAGCAATAGTGGCTATTTCCTCTCAAAATGTGGCACAGATTTACTGACCAATATTTAGTTGTGCCCAACTTTCTGTGGGAGCATGTGAGAGTGGCTTTCAGATTACGGCTGCCTGTTTGTCAAACCCAAATAATTTACATTATGAAGTTTCCCCTTAGAGATCTGCTATGGGCAATATAAAAATTCTGTCTTGCAACTAGACTCATTCTATGTAAAATGCTGAATAACAGCAGTGGGAAAAGGGACAGCAAGCAGTATTGAAGCACATTCTAGAAGGGGTATTTGTAAAGGCCACATAGCCTCTGCAAACAACACACAAATTTCATGTTACCACACACCAACTTGGGAAGATAAGTGAGATTACAGTTATCTGCAACAGGAACAACAAGCTTTTATTTCATTCTTTGATCAGGGTATTGCATTAGGGCTGCTATGACAGCACTTAAACAGAAACTGCTTGCTCCCCCCATTTCCAGACCTGCACYTTCCTCTCACAGTCCCCCTTCTTCCTCCCATTCCAGGCCAGCCCATCCATATCTCATCCCAACAGTAAAACATGGGTAAGGCTCCAGCTTCTGATATCACCAGGAAGTACACTGGGAATGGGGCAGTTTGTGACAGACCTCCCAAAGCACTGGATATATGTGAGTGGGGAGAGGGATACATGAATGTGAGCAGCATGGCAGGAACCTGCAAGAAACGCTCCATCCGGCAGGAAGAGTGCTCAGGGCCTGCTCCATCGTAGCCGTGGGGAAGAAGAATTACTATTCCACTCTGCAGAAGCCATTTTGCTTCACCTAAAGAGACACAATGATGAAGAGGAATCACTGTCACAGAGCATAAAGCCTAGAAATACGCATTACTTTGCAAAAACTAGTGGGGGCGGCAAGGAAATTATTAAATGCAACCTTGAGAGACGCTGGCATTTAGTCGTGAAATTCACAGTTGTGACTAAGCCCACAAGATGACCTGAAGCTTCTCATATTGCCAAGTAGTTTGGGACTTTAAGCCTCCACAAAAAGCAGCAAATCAGGGAATGTTTTTAAGTTTACACTGGAACATCACCATATAATGCAATAATCCCTCTAAATCAGCAGGAAAACGTGCTAGAGTCAAACTGAGAGCTTTGTAAGATTTTCACTGTGTGGGTTGTGATTATAAAAACAAAAAAGAAAAGCAATTTTCCTCCTGCGTCATCCCATTTTCAGATGCTTTGTGAAGGCATTTCGATACAGCCTAAAAAGCAATCAAATACATATACAGTAAAATATGTAAGGGGGAGAAAAATAAAGTCCTAATCAACTGTTCTTTTGGAATGACCATCATCTGCCAGGAGAGTATCTTTCATTTTGGATGGATGCTCATCACAGAACAGCCACATAGAAGCTGGGACAATATAGGCAAGCTAAGGGACATCTTGAGAAGACAGATTTCTTTTCCCAACAATACACCTTTTCTTTAAGGTCAAAGGATTTTCTACAGATACACTTGTTCAAAATGTCATATTTTAAGGGTATTAACTCCTTGTATCCACTCACCTCCAGAGATAAAAGTGTCAAATATTATCTGGGCTCCATTAAAGAAGTCTCCAAAYTGAGCTTCCCAAATTGGTAGCAACTTGGGGCTCTCAATACTCATTCCATATTCGAAGCCAAGCACAGCTTCTTCAGACAAGGGACTGTTGCTCACCTAACAAAAGGAAATTGTTGGGAGAAGCCAGTGAGAGAGAAGACAACCCAGGGTTTAGAACCTTTGGAACCAGGCATTTCAGTGCCAATTTTTTTTTAAGAGTTTTTGAATGAAGACATTAAGAAGAGGGGAGAAGAACTACTGATCTCCAAAGAGAAGCAGACCCATTATYAAATCTTTTTAAAGAGGGTAATTCACCGTATATTACACCTATGGATGCACTATAGTAAAACATAAATCAGCRACATCCTCTAGCCAGGCTCTCTGAAACCAGAATCAGGTGCAACATGATACAGGTAAACGATGTACACATCATTTCTTCTTCTGATTTACTCCAGGTGCCTTCTGCATCGGGGATTTCTTGGAACATTCAGGCTGCACACACAGCCTCGACATACATGTCTCAGAAGCTTTCAGATATATGCATTGTGTTTCAGTGCAGCTTGAAGAGGGTTGCCCAGTGGAGCACAGAACCTACCTCCAGGAAACCCTTCTGGTCTGGGGACATGTGATTCAGAGGTATGTAGGTATCATCTGTCTCTTGACAAACCAACATTGCGTGTCGTTGACTAAAGGTTCCTCTGCCAACATCTTGTCCACTTAGTCTGACATTAAACCCTTGCCAAGCAACAAACAAAACACTGGATTAGTAAATCACATAGGAAAACAAATAAGCAGGACAATAACTCCCCACTTCTGAAGATCTCTTTCAGGTTAGAACTCTTCTTTTGGCTCCACAGCTGTATCAACACTGAGTGGGAATTTTTAACCACCCGCAGCTCCAGCTCACAAGCACAGGCACACTTAGGCATTTCTCATGAAAATTCTTTAGTGATAAGTGCATTAGTTTGCTGAAAGAAATGTCAAAGTGTGTGCATTCTGTATCATACATAAATGGACATTGGAATTCAGGCTAAAGAGGAGGAAAAAGAGATTCTAGTTAAGATGTAGGCTCTTAAAGATGACCATATGGGAGGCCCTGTTGATGTCAGCTGTAGTGCTAAGCACCAGTTTTCTGGGGGAGCACATGCATGTGTGTCAGGGCAATCATTTCTGAAGATACTGAGTACCCACTCTATAAGGATTAGTGACATATAGGACTGATTTACCTTCTCTAAGGACTATGCAGATGCAAGCTGTCTAATGCATTCATCATATCAACTTCTGGACTTGCAAACGCTTTATAAGGCTAGTAATCTACTTCATTGTCATCAAGCAAAAAAAAAAAAAAAAAAAAAGAGAGAGAAAAAAAAAGAAGCAAAAGCAAAAAACCTTATTTATCTATTGTCAATTTGCTTCTTACCTTGACTCAGAAGCGAACCGAAGGCTAAAGCTTCTGCTGTTGCCCAGTCCAGTTTTTTTCCCTCCTCCACCTTTTGTACTCTCGACTAAACAAGTTAAAAAAATAAAACAAAGAAAAGTGGGGGCTTTGCCTTCTGCCTTTTCTATCTCTTTTTGTGGTAGAGTGACATTAGAAGCTAGAAAAATGGGTATGGAGAAACATGTTGTTTTCCTGYAATCAACTTGGTTTGGTCTAGAATACATATACTCTATTGTAGCACATCCTGAAGAAGGATGTCTGCAGACCTCAGACCTGCAGAWGACCCACGTGTTCACTTATACAATCGATGAACTTTGGATTAACAGATTAGACGTTAAATAATCTTTTAAAAATCTAAAAATCTGTTATAAAAAAAAAACTATAAAATCTATAAAACCGAAGCTTAGCAGGTTAAGGCATTTCAGTCCCCAGAATTCTCCCATTCTGGTCTGCAGAACGGAGAAGACTCCACTGAGACAACGGTCTCTTGCTTTGGGCTGGGGAGACAAGAGCAGTCAGTCTTCCAAAATATTCAACCCACAGCCTCTCCGTTGCTGCCAATCAGACAYCAGCCCCTCATCTCATTCATCACTGGGAAACACGCAGTATGAGTCCCGAACCAACCTCAACTTTGCAAACAAATKTATTGATATGAGACATAGGGCCTTTCAAACCTGGCCACATGCATTTGTTCATGTATGTATGAACACCTACTATTGGCTTCAGAAACCAATTATTATCAATTTCCATTACATCCAAAGATAAGAAACTATTATCCACATAATTATTTCCTTCACTGTGATAAAATACTGTTAAAAAAAAAAACAGTATCAAGTATTTGGTCTGTTTTGGAAAGAAGATAGAATTTTCTTCAAACATAGAAGAAAAATAGCATCGTCCCAGGCTCAAGGTGGGACAAGGAGAAGACTTTCCTCTTCATAAGAGTGTTTTTTGTTGGTTTTTTTTTGTTGTTGTTGTTGTTGTTTTTTTAAATGACAACCTGTTCCAGGAAAAAAAGCCTAATCTAACAAGGATTTATCTTTGATCAGTGGGACTAGAGCCAGAACATCACTTTGTTCTCCTGACCTGTGCATAAGTCTTCAGAAGATGGCTGTGCATCTGGAGCTCTTCAGGCACCTCGACAGACTTGATGCCAATAAACTGCAGGAGGGGCACCGGCATTCCTGTGTCCCAGGTGGTGATTTTAGCAGAAGGCTCAACCAGGCCTTTCCAGTGAGCCTGCAGGTTGGTAGGAGGTGGACTATACAAAGTCATGTTGGCAAGATGATCGTTGAGTTTAGAATAGTAGGTTGTCTTTATCTCAGATACTTCAGCCTCAGTCATGAGCCCTGCAGCTACCAGGTGTTCTGCGTAGGTGTCTGGGATACTCTTCCGTGATCTATCAAGATGGGAATCAAACCCGATAGACATTCAGCCCAAGGACAGTGTCATAAGCAAGAGAATTTACCATGGAAATTTGAAATAAAGGGGGACTTGGTACATTCTTCCCATTCAGGTGAAATTTGCTTTCTTGGCAGTTTAAGACTAATAATGTCCTAGACATTGTCCTTCATTTAAAAAATGCTACAAAATGTATGATAAAAAGCTTCCTAATCAGAGTGACTCTTTGCCATTGTGCAAATATTTAATCAAGAACTAACATTTTATTCAATATTCAATCAAGTGTTAATGTAAGAGCTGTGCTGACATTAACACTAGTCAGTACAGCAAAGGGGCTTTGTTCTACAGAAAATTTCTAGTACAGTTCCATGCCATACTTAGGCAGTATAGATACCAGGACAATTTGGGTTCCTCCATGAGGTGACGWAACCCTTGTCTCATGAGATACAAGGCCATTCTAGGTTCCTCCATGAGGTGATATCACCCTTACCTGACGAGATACAAGGACATTTTTGGTTTCTCCATGAGGTGACATAATCCTTACCGGATGATTTTGTACATGCTGGGGTTGGTGAAAAAGGGCTCATCGAGCTCGTTGTGGCCCCACTGCCTGTAGCAGAGCAGGTCAACTATCACATCCTCACGGAACTGCCGCTGATACTCAACAGCCAGCCGCGTGGCACGGACAACTTCTTCAGGATCATCCCCGTTCACATGGATTACTGCACACCCGACAATTTTACCTGCCCGGGGATTTAAAACAGCAATCAAAGAAATGCAAAGAAAATGGACCCAGACAGAACTCACCAGGGAGATGGACAGCTTGTATGCAGCATGTTTAATAAAAATAAGAGAAGSTCTGAGTAACAGTTGGGAAAACGAGCTAGGGGTCTTCCCTGAGAAAAAGGGCAACAGCTCAACTTGTTGCATTTGGCACAACTCAAACTTAAAAGTGGTAAATTCCTGGAGTGCTTTCTACACATGGCCCCTGCAGTTTCTTACTTGTACTGAAGGGAATACCAGTTCAAGGAAAGAGCAATAATACCACAGGCTGTCTATTTTAGTAAATCTAAAGAATTTGTCAGTTGTTTGCTCTGATGAAAAAGACAATCATGAGATGCTAATTTCAATGACATATGCTAGCATACACTTAACTCTAGGAGATCTTGCTGGTTATAATGTATATGTTAGTCAGGAAGGAAAGACTGTCCAGAACAAGCAACTTCTGGTTTAAGCTTAGAAATGGCATCAGCCTCAACTTTCAACTAAAAGCTCAGTAAGTTCACCCAGTAACACCCAAGAGTGAAAAAAATGATGAGTATCTGAGTAGTAAGCTACATGAGCTCACTTGTAAAAACATATCTGGAAGGTTTTCATTACATYTAATAGGATTTATTTAGTATACATCTATTATACATCTTTTAAAACTTGTCAACAACATGGCAAAAGTTAAATGAATATAAAGACTTCACCATAACCTGACAAATATTTTATAACATCCTGTAAGATTGTGACATGATTTTCCACTGATATTTAATCTTTGCCATGAAGCAGAAAGGGGGTGTGTATTTTTAGCATTTACATTTTTGCTAGTAGAAGGTAACTATCAATAATAATTTGAATTTCTACTCTATTATAAAAATGAATATAGATTAAGTCCCTAGGACCTGTGAGCACTTGCTAAAAAAGCCCAGATGAGAACACACAGCAGATATTCACACTGAAGTTTAAAATGCTAATGTTAAAAACCAACATTAGATCATTTCCTTTCCAACATACCAATATCACTACAGTACAGAGACGATCGTCCTCGCTCTGCAGGAGTGGTGTAGCCCAGCTGGTTATTTACAATCAAATGGATGCTCCCACCAACTCTGAAATGTGGTAGATTAGAGAGGGTCAGTGTTTCAGGAACAATCCCTTGCCCAGAGAAAGCAGCGTCACCATGAACCTACATTAGGGAAGAAGATGGAAAAGTCACCAAAAAAAAGGGCAGAATAGCAAAAATCAAAACAACTCAATATGTAAGACCTTTTAAATGCAGTAGGTAGAACAGACTGTGCCCAGTTCTTACCTCTCATTCTGTCTATTGTTTTAATTATTTGAAACCTTCTACAGTGTTATAACAAATGCAAGGTCATAGAAACAAACGCCTGCCCATGTACTGCATGACCTCACGTCTGCTTGGAACAGACCTATAATTTCTTAAAATCAATCCATGAGTAAATCACTAGTACCAAGGCTATAGCAGAGCTGCAATTAGCCAGTACTGACAATGAACAAAACTAAGACAACTGCCATAGTAGGTGCTATACCCTGCTGAAAGTTAAGTGTGGAGATGAACTGTAAGTTCATTGTTAGGAAATGGAGTGGAAAACAAACTGAAGAAAGCATTTAAAAGCAAATGAAAGGACTCAGAAGGGCATAAAAGCTAAGCTCTTAGGTTTATAAACAGCAAATAAACATTGCAAATAAAAAAGAAATGGACTGGAAGGGGAAAGGAGACAACTGTGACATTCAGGCCAGGTTTCCAAGGGTAAACTTATTAGAATGAATTAAAGACTTGCTGGGGCTAGTTTGCCATTGATGTTCATTACATGTGGCAGGAACGCAGTCCTGTCCCAAATTCTATTTACTTTTGACTTTACAAATGTTTAAGAGAATGACCACCTGATAGGAAAAAGTTATAGGAAAAGTTATATTAAAAAAGTTATATATTAAAAGTTCTCTATATAATATTATTTATATATTTTATATATAAAAGTTATATATAAAAGATAGGAAAAGTTATCAAGAAACTGCTTCCATGGTGATAAAAAACAATTATATATGCTTATATGATCATATATATACAATTACATACATATATATACAATTTTATATATATATGATTATAAAAGACAATTAAAGGAGTAGGAACTAATTCTAGTAGGTAGAAAAAGACTTATTTTAACAGTATCATGGTAAGATAGCTAATTGTGGTAGCTTAAATGCAAAAGTGGTCTGGGAGGAAAAAGACACATATGGCTTTCAGTGCAGAGTATCTTTAACCATGAGGCAGGCATCAAAATCAGCTCTTTAGCTGTGGAATTGTTTGAATACCGATATCGTCACTTGTGTCAACTAGTTATCTTCCTTTCCCTCCCCATTCCATAAAATAAAAACAGTTCTTCATATTCTACATTAATGCTCATTTGATTTTTTTTATATATATATATATATATATATATATATATAAAACATATATATATATATATATGTTTTCTGCTTATACGTGAGCAAAATACCTGCAGACAAATGACACTGTCCCCAGGCTGTGCAGAGCTCTCCGGGGAGTAATCGCCGTCAAGCAGCGTCTGCTGCCGGCCCCGCGTCTTGCCGACCGCCACTGGGTTGATGGCTTCCAAGTGCGACGGGTTGGGCAGCAAGGTGACATGCACCGGCCTGTGGGATCCGAAGTCGAGGTCGACAGAAGACGTGAGGTGGGAGAGAACGTCCCCGATGGCCGGTGAATTCTCCGGAAACTCGCTCAATCCCCGCATTTTACGAAACATGAGCTGCGGGGGAATAAACCTAGTTAAAAACGTTCTCTTTCCAACTCGCTGACATGTTCAAAGAAAAACATTTTCAGGATTGTATGCCCACCCACTCCTTCTATTGTGAAGATGCCTCAGGAAACAGCACAAACCTCTTTCTTAGATTTCTTAGTTGTCTCCCGGGGAGAACAGGCTACAGTACTGACAGGAAGGAACACGTTGTCACACAAGTAACTTATTTCTTGCTCCAGCCTTGGCAACAAGATACCCTGTGGCGTTACTCCATTGACAAATAAATCGGATGTAGCACAACGGTCAACAGTTGTAAACCTCTACCTCGGGTGGCAGCTGAAGCAAGCCTGTGAGGAGGTTCAGTCTCCCACGATGAGGCATTCCAAGGATGATATCCGTCACCCCGCTGTACGCGCACATCTTGAACAACTCATGGAAGAAGCCCATCATGCTCTCCGCTCCTTCACCACCGTATCTCTTCACTGTGGCAAACTTCGTGGCTAAGAAGCGATCAAACTCCTGGTAAAAATGGGAGAATTTGGGTTTTAGCCTATTTTAAACACCAACATTTTGTTTCTAAGACACAAACACTGTTTCTGTTTGCACTTTTATGGCACACAGAGGTGAATGTACCCTTGAAGAGTCTCAGCTCTTCCTTCACCCACACATTCTGAAGCCCAGAAGCTATGTTGAATGCAAGGAATCAGTTAACATCTTCYCTTAGAGTAAAAACTACTGGATTAAGGATCAAACTTTCCCTACCTAACACAAAGGAGCAGGCAACACTAATAAAAATAGTGAAGTCCTTAATTTACCTGCTTTACATGCTAGGGAAGCACAATGTTTCATTTTGATTACTATCACAATCCTTGGTACATGTGTGGAAGAATGCTTGAGAGAAGGAAAATAAATTAATCTGGATKTACTTCAGTTTCCTCTCACTCCTCCCACTACACTCATCTACTCTGAAAGCTTTCACAAGTGGCAAAGTTTTGGAGCACTAGATGTGTCTACACTGTTTTCCAGCTCAGGACTGAAAATAGACTAAGACTGTAACTGAGAAGGGAAGACTGAGCAACAACGAGAGACTCGTGTCAAATCCTGAACATTTTCTAGTTAAGTAACACTCAGTTCCAAGAAATACTGTACAGAAACCTAAGCACAAACAAAAGCAGCTTTTCCTTCTGTAGGTAACCTGAACATTCTGAGTACTGTGCTGAAGTCAATATGGGATTTATTAGAGTCCTAATTTCACTCTCCTGTGTCACTAAAAAATCCCTTTAAGTACAAAAGAGGCAAGAAAGCAATGAAATGTGCCAGATACTTCTGTTTAGTCATTGGTATTACATTTAATATTCCTTCCACTTGGAAAACTGGAAACAGGGACAACTTCACAGATCCTGCTCTTCTACCTTTGCATCTTTCTGGATAAGGCAGGGAGAGAGAGGAGAAAAAAAAAGAGAATTTTTCACAGTATAGAAATATTTGTATTAATTCCCTAAAACACTTAGATCTATGCATGTTGCAAGTAAAAACCTCTCATTGTCCTTACAGATTGCATCAGATAATGGTTCTTTTGCTGAAAAGCAGCAAACTTGAGATTTAAAGCTCATAAAACAAAACAAAATGACAGTGAAAGCAAAACACAGAATAGCTAAATTGGGGCACAACATTTCATAGGGCTCTGGCCAATCTTGTCTTCCAGTCAGTAATATTTAAAACAAGCTGTYTGACCATTATTCTGGGAGAATTTCACTTCTAAGACTGACCACTCTTGAGCTTGTACAATCTTTTTTTCATGTCTCCATATGCTACAGAACATGTTACAAAAATATACATTACTAACAGTATCAGTTCTCCTTAGTCTAAAGGCCTGTAAGTTTGGAACTGGCTAGAAATATTTGTATAGAACTAATTTCTGAAGTAATCAATACAAACAAAAAGACACTGCTATTTCATAGAATCATAGAATCATAGAATCATAGAATCATAGAATCATAGAATCATAGAATCATAGAATGCTGAAGGTTGGAAGGGACCTCAGAGGTCATCGAGTCCAACCCCCCTGCTCACGCAGGGTCACCTAGAGCACGTGGCACAGGGCTGCATCCAAGCGGGTTTTAAAGATCTCCAAAGAAGGAGACTCTTTTAGTAGACTTTTTTTAGTAGACTTTCTTTTAGTAATAGCTGCTAAGTAAACTCAGCAACAAACGCAGTGACCCAAAACTTTGCATTTGGCAGACAAAACCCTGTACTATTGTCTCTGACATACATTTCCCAAAGTCTTTTGAATCCCTTCAGGAAAGGTATTGTATTTTTTGTTCTCTGCTTGGATAATGTTCAMGACAGTGAAAGGTCCATGACAGACTCCACAACTCTTCAATTAATTACAGTAATGATTGTAATTGTAAAATACAAGTGAATATGATACCTGAGACTCCAGCATCAGCTTGCATAAATGCTTTTTCTCTTCGGTTGTAAATGCTTCCTGTTTCAGCTCCTCAAACCTTCTAGCAAACCATTTTCGCTCCTCCAAGGTTGGAAGCTGGCTTGTTTCTATGGAAATATGCCCGCAGTATATATGGTCAAGGTATGTCAACACGTCCTGTAGGGAAGCCTCTTCTTTTCCCATGTTTAGAAGCCCTAGTCAGAAAGAAATGCGTTAGCCACATCAAGGAGAGAAAAGGACACTAAGGACTAAAGTGTTCTCTTGCAATTACACTAACATTTTGAGAGCAAAAATTCATATTTTATCTTCCTATCCTTTATTAAAAACAAACAAAATCTTTACAAGCACATTTTGATATCTTAATGCATAGGCCTGTGGTTTACAAGGTGTTCTAAATGCTTTTCTGGAAGAGCTTGCCATGAATGACACCAAGTCGATGTTTTTTGCAACTTGGGATATCACTCAATACCTTGAGAGATATCAGTACATGATAATGCAATCATAGTTGATGCAAGGAAATAAATATCCATTTTGCAGATGAAGAAAATAAAGCATGGAGAGAAACTCCTAATTGCTCAAGGCCACAGTGAGAGCCAGAGAGTGCCAAGAAAAGACAAAAAGTCTTGACTTGTGTCCCAGTGCCCTGACATCTGCACTAGCGTCAAGTATCATGCTAAAATACAGAGTGTTACAGTAACAAAAGCAATTAATGTATAACCTCAGTAGCTGTAAGAACAAGTAAAAATGTCCACGGTTTCCACAGATGCTAGAAGGTAGCCACTCATTACACCATGACTTGTGCAATAAGCACATAAGCACRGTGAGGTTAACAGTTTTCTGTACAACAGTTACTGATTGAACGTCTGTTCAATACTTGGCTCCTCTACAGAGAACATGGCTTCATTTTGTTGTGATAAGATCGCAGACTTACCTGTGGTAATGAAAGGCCCCTGAAGAACTTCTGTCAGCTCTCGAATTTCGGGTACCGTGTTCATAACAGCTTGGCCAGCAAATAAAGGATTTATTTTTGCTGCTTTGTGGCCGTGTTCGGAGTACGCRGTTATTAAACGAGCAAGCCCATGGTCAACTGAACACAAAAAGAAAACAGGACAGTACAGCACATGTGCTCACACTTACTCCATTTATAGCACTCACACAGGAGGATGCTGCCCACTGATATTCACTAAGGTTGTGATCAGAAAAATAATTTTTCTAGTCAATTGTTTTCACTATAACATCCCATTCAATATCCTCCCTCTTCTTTACAGTATCAAGCCCAAGCTGGTCTCCATCTTGGTCTATTCCCTCCCAAACCATGATCACTAGCAGTCCTGAGAGGTCAATTTATACGGTTACTTAGTAGTGGCCAAGGTGTCAACGTGTWAAGTCTTATTTCCTTAGCTGACTCAATCAAGGGACAGGACAGTAGAGTCTCAACAACAATTCAGTTCCTATAACCTAATAAAAGAGTGACCAGGAGCCACCAACCAACAGCACGCACAGCATGGACAACCAGCTACCACTACAGTAACCATGAAATAGTTTGACAGGGGGGCCAATACAGAGGAGCTGGAGTTCCTGGGGCAGTGGAAAGGTTCAGGAATAGAGGAKATCAGCCCTCATCAGCTCTGCTGCACAAAGGAATATTGATCAGGTCTCAACCGGACTTGCTGCARGACAAACGAAGAGGAGAATCCGCATGATGACACAGGATGACAGTTTGATGTCACCTTAAGACTTTGTGCAACACAAAGAAGCTCCTCTCAAACACTATTTCTTCGGGCTCTTCATGAAGCMAGTTTAAGGTTTAAAATGGACTCAAGAAAACAGTGATCTCTTCAAGGATAAGTTTCTAGTAGGAAATCTTGCCGATAACAACCATTATACTATCCTGATAGCACGCCAAGCCAGGCATACCACAAATTCAGTTATGTGAACACATTTTTCAACAGACACTATAAACACAGTGCTGAAGGCTCTGAAGCTGAAAAATTATCAACGTGAGCAAAACACAACCAACGGAAAGGTCACGTGCACCACGCTACTACCAGCGGGCACAAGGCACAGACCAGCAAGGTAACCGATAACCACCAACACTGCGGGCAGAAACTTGCTGCTTGACCCACRTGAATCAGTTCAAACTGAGTGCTGGATGTTTTTAATGCTTTTTTTCCCCCCTTTTCTTTCTTTTACCCCAATACGCTGCCCCTACACCCATCACGTCCACAAGGTCCTCGAGTCACATCAGCCACCCCAGGCGCTGCCCCGGGGACAACGCTCCTATCCCACAGAGGGGAGTTTTCCTTTGGGAAAGATTTTCCCTCCTCCACAACTGCTAAAAATGTCCAGCAAGTGCGGGTATCTGCACGCTTTACTGAGAACGGAAAAGAAAAAAACAATCCCGCAGTTACAACCTGAGGAAAAAAACTCCCGATTTGGGGCAGGCAAACCCAGGCCGCGGCGCCCCCTCAGCGCGAGGAACGGCAGGGAAGGAGGGGAGAGCGGGGAAGGAGGGGAAAGCGGGGAAGGAGGGAAGGAAGGGAAGGAGGAGGACGGGGAAGCCCCGACCTGCCGTGCCGCGCGCCTCGGCCGCGGCGCCGCCGCCCGCCGCCGCCCTGCGCGGCTTGTAGCCGTAGACGCCGCGCTCCGTGCGGTACCAGCGCCGCAGGCCGCCTCGCCAGGGCGCGCAACGCGCCGCCAGAGCCGCCGCCATGGCCGTGGCCGTGGCGCCGCCGAGCGCCGCCCACGGCCCCGCCGCCTTCCCCGGGCAGCGCCGCCCCCGCCGCGGGGAGAGCCCTGACCGGCTGCCCGGTCCTCCCGCTGCGGGGAGAGCCCCGAGCCCGCCCGGCCGCCCCGTCCCCGCCGCGGGGAGCGCGATCCTGAGGGAGAGCAGCCGCGGGCTCCGCCATTTCCCCTCCCTCTGTCTGTCCCTGGCGCTCCTCAGGGCACCGAGCTGTATTCCTGAGGTCGGGAGAGGGTTGGARGTCCAGCTTTGTCTCCTGAGTTCGCCCTGGGAAGGGCCTGACAGGCTCCGTGGTCCCTCCTGAGGATCCTCAGGGTTTGATGCAGGCCAACCTGGAGTGCCCAAGTAAGCCAGAAGAGCCCTGTACCTCGTCACCTCACCAAACGCATGAGTTGGGTTGCCTGTGAGAAAAAAAAAAAAAAAAAAAAAAAAAAAAAAACTAAAAAAAAAACTGTTGCTAAAAACTTAAACCTTCCATAATTTTTTTCCCCACCCATTTTGAGTCCTCAGAGCTGCCTTGTTGCCTCAGTGCACCATGAGATGCACTGCTAGAAGATGGAGGCTTTAGGAGCCTCTGTGGGGATCACCATCGCACCTGGAACCTGAAAAAACTATTTTTCCTTCTTCAAATCTAACCAGTGATTATACGGTCTTGAGACCGCCAGAACTGATTTTAGCCACTGAAATGGCCRCGGCTGCACAACTAGGCAGAGATTTGGTGGCATTTACAGGTCTTGGAGACATTCATATTCCTCAAGGCTGGCATGGGGCTGTTTTTGCGCAGATCTGTAAAAGCTGATTTGGGAGGAAAAAGGAGCAAATGACCTTTAATGCTGCAAAGAAACGAATGGATTGTGCTATCGGACAGCTGACACATGGCTGATAGGGTAAAGCCTGGTAGAAATGCGCCTTCTGGTCTTATTTTTTAATGTATATTGAGAACAAGAGAACTTTAATGTTGCGCCATCACATACACAGTACAGCTAAGTTGACAATAAAAAGGCAGAAAAGCTTGATATAATCCAAATATTTCTGTCCTGCACTTGAGGGAAAAAAAGAAAAGACAAATACTGCAGACAGATCACATGTTGAAATTCTTTTCCACAGTTCTTAAGCAAATATTTGCCAAATAGCAGATATAATGCTTTTGCCTTAAAGCACATTGAATATTTCTCTTCTGAGTTAGCACTGACAGGAAGAGGTTTGAAATATTAAACATCTGAATTATAAAGCTAATGCTACTAAATGTTTAGAAGGAACTAAATGAAGTGGTTCAATACCAGACTCTTGATCCAGGGAAGTAATTGAATGTTTGCATATATAGGTTCACTTATTGCTTTAATCAGCCCTAAGCGTGGCCTTATGGGATAGATACCAAATAAATCTTGTTAGTTTTGAGACTCAAAGTTCAGTCGATTGAGATTTAAGGCACTGAATGTTACTTTGCAGACTTGCCAGCATCAGCATCTTGCCTGGGATGTGGCTACAAATGGCAAAACTGCTGTAACTACATCTGGGTCGAAAGCAGAGCACTTTCCATGGCTTTGGTTCCTGAGATATTAAACAGGCCCAAAGCCCTGGCCAACAAATTAGGAATAGTTCAAAATCACATATAAATCTGTTTACTCATCAGAACTAAACTTGCAATACTTTTAACAGAAAAACTGTCATCAAATTGGATGGTGGGGTGGATTGAGAACTGGCTGGATGGCAGAGCTCAGTGGGTGGTGATCAGTGGTGCAGTCCGGTTGGAGGCCTGTGGTTAGTGGTGTCCTCCAGAGGTCAGTGCTCGGTCCGGTCCTGTTCAACTTACACATCAGCGACCTGGATGAAGGGATGGAGTGCTCCCTAAGCAAGTTTGCTGATGATACCAAACTGGGAGGAGTAGCTKATAGCCCTGAGGGCTGTGCTGCCATCCAGAGGGACCTGGACAGACTGGAGGACTGGGCGGTGAGAAACCTCATGAAGTTCAACAAGGGCAAGTGCAGGGTCCTGCACTTGGGGAGGAATAACCCTGGACACCAGTACGRGCTGGGGACTGATGTTCTGGAGAGCAGCCCTGCAGAGAGGGACCTGGGCGTCATGGTGGACGACAAGTTGACCATGAGGCAGCAGTGTGCCCTGGTGGCCAAGAAGGCCAACGGGATCCTGGGGTGCATTAGGAAGAGCGTCTCCAGCAGGTCGAGGGAAGTGATCATCCCCCTCTCCTCAGCCCTGGTGAGGCCACATCTGGAGACTGTGTCCAGTTCTGGGCTCCCCAGTACAAGAGGGATGTGGAGCTGCTGGAGAGAGTCCAGCRCAGGGCAATGAGGATGATCAGGGGCCTGGAACATCTGCCATATGAGCAAAGGCTGAGAGAGCTCGGTCTGTTCAGCCTGGAGAAGAGGAGGCTGAGGGGGGTGTCTATAAGTACCTCAAGGGAGGGAATGAGGAGAACAGGGCCGACCTCTTTTCATTGGTGGCCAGCGATAGGACTAGAGGAAACAGACACAAACCGAAGCACCAAAAGTTCCACAGGAACTTAAGGAAAAATTTCTTGACAGTGAGGGTGGCTGCCCAGAGAGGTTGTGAAATCTCCTTCTCTGGAGATCTTCAAAACCAGCTTGGACACAGCCCCGTGCCACGTGTTCTAGGTGACCCTGCGTCAGCAGGGGGATTGGACTAGATGACCTCTACAGGTCCCTTCCAACCTTAAGGATTCTGTGATTCTATGAAATAGGAGTATTTCTAAAGGGATTCAAAAGGGATTGCAGTCCCTGGCACTGCAATAGTTATTAGGAACCTGGAAACCCTTCCCACAAAGTAGGTAAGTCCTGACAAAGTTGTCAGCTGGAGGTAAAGGATGAAGTGAGGCTGTCTTGGATCTGAATTTCATGCTTGTCTCATAGATAAGTAAATGAGATTTATTCTAACAGAATCAAATATAAGCTTATACATCTGGAAAAAAAAAAGAAAAAAATAAGTCCATTAAAATATAGTCCGTTCTTGGGAAACAGTGACCGTAAGTAATCTCTGAAAATGGTGGGAATAAAACAGATGGGAATGCAAAAGCTATTTTGGCTACAAGGCAATATTGAGTATACATACGGATTCTAGTCTGGTGTTAATGTGACTGCTCGCTAAGCCTTATGTCCGTATTGTGTGATAGTAATTTAGGAAACACTGAAAAAGTTGGGAAGAWCTTCAAGCATTAAAAAAAAAAATGAAAGAGGTGCTTTATATCTGAGACTCATGCAAGGAGTTCCCACTTTTGATTAGTGGGAAAACTCTATCAGTTCATAAGGAGGCACCTGCCTATGAAACAGGTACTTTATAAGGAAAAGGGTTTGAGCCTGYCAGAGCAAGGTAAAACAAGATTTACTTGCATGGCCTTTGCCAAGGACAGCTCCAGTAYAGCTGTGGTGGTGGGGAATGTGGGATGGTCTCTGGAAACAGTAAAGAAGGAGCTATTGTTTCTTTTCAAAACTGAAAGCTGAAATCTAAACCAAAGATAATGTTGAGGCTGCCTTTTCAAACTAGAACAAAACAGCTCAGTCTTTGGCAGCAACAACATTTAATCTATTTTTTTTCTCTTTTCTCTCTCTTTTTTTTTTTTTTTTTTTGACACGTGGATCTTCTCTATTATATTAAATCAACTTAATCAACATGGTAAATCAACTTGCTTTGGAAAGTACATAAAATCTTGGGCTAGCAAGGACACTCAGATGATCTATATAAGTAACAAGCGTGACTTCATCCTTTTGAATATACATTAATAAACTTTTCCAAAAAGAGATTTTTAAAATTGCCTGCAAAAAGAAGCAATGAAGGAAGAAGGAGGAATAACAGGAAAGGAGAGGAGCTCTGTTATGGAAAAAAAAACCTGTCTGGTCCTGTAACATTTGGCAGAGGAGACCTAAAACTCTGCATCGTTAAACAGTAAACAGAGTATTAAATTTGGGTAGACTCTGGCCTGTGAATAAAGGGTGGCTTTAACTGCTGAATAACCTTGTTATGCACATGCAGACCCGGGACTGATGCCACGGTCGAATATTTTTGTGTGCTTGTTGTGGAGTGTAACCACTGCTGTGACTAAGGAAAGGCTCCTGTTGGAAACCTCAGAGCTTGGAAAGGGAATCAGGATTGCAAATGTCAGCTCTGCACCATCATATTCTTAAATTCTGCATTGTGTTTTTTCTTTCTTCAGTTTGGGTTAATTTAAAGGGGGATGACAGTCAATAGCTTGACCAGACTCACAGATCCTGAGCCTTTCATGTAAAATTGGAGTTTCTGTACAATGGAATTAATAACTATAAATGCTTCCACACATCCAGACAGCATTATGGCCACGGCAGGAGGACAGGGTGGAGGTACCAGAATTGTGTAGCCCATTCTGCCAACACACACTGGGAACCCAGAAACGAAACTGTTGTTTTTGGTGACTCGTTTTGGTATCAGGTCACATCAGCTGCGTATTTCAACAATTTGATGTTTATTTTTTTGCTTACAGCTCTCCTTCCTTCAGTGCACCATCCAGGGGCAATAAGATTCAAGCAAACACTAATCAGAAATATTATTATTATTATTGTTTAGCRTTTTAACATACATACCAGTTTGATGCATAGATTTGAAAGAGACTGGGAGCTTCAACTAATTAAAAAGACACRATCCTACTCCACTGCTAATTGTCCATTAGAAATAAAATATTATACCATAAARTACAATAGGGAACATCTGTAACTTCACCCTAGCATGTCATTTAACTGAGTATAGGCCATGGGTTTTTTGTTGTTGTTTTTTCATTGTGGTGATGGCTGAAGAGGTTAAAAAAACCCAATTTCCCTCTTGGTATTCTAGGCAGGTGGGATTGTTTGCAGTCTAATTAAGAGAGATCCCTCCAAATTAATTGAGAGAGGAACTCTCCAAAATGGGGGAAAAGATCACCATGGGGATGTGCGATTGCTTTAAAACATCCTTTTKAAAGCATTTTG